AAATAAGAGAAAGTTTCAGTCAAGCTCTGAAGAAGTCAACAGGATGATTGGCGAAACGTCAGCAATTTCGACTAAGCAAAAACCGACGCAGGAGGAATCCAGAAGTTTTGTTGAAAAGTACTAGACTATCTAGTTATAAATTCCACTTGCAATTTGGTTCTGAATTGCTGTTTTCGACCGCCTCTTTTAGCATAATTTGTCTGCCGTTTTCTATGTTACATTATATAATCTTCTTGAATTGTTTCTTCTTTAAGTTTCAGTTTTGTTTTCGTTTGCTGAAATGTTCCGTGAATGTCGTAATTGTTTTTCCAACTTGCTTAAAATTATATTGATTATTAACGGTTATGGTCACATAACTTGCACTTTTTGTTGATGAATAACTTTTCATTTAATTTAAGGGCGTCCGATATATCGGTGTTTTTTATTATTATTTGTCTTTTCATACGGCGGTATTCATTGTAGTGCGGAAAAACTATAAAAGCGACTCAAAGTAAACGCCAATATGTTGACTTATTGATAAATGCACGACAATAAAAGGCGGTCTTTATCGAATCAAAGCTTCGAACGTAAAACCGGAGCTTCAGAAAAATGCATTTCAAAAAACAATGGCAACGCGTGCGGCCTATTGCTTTTTCGATACATTACCCGATATATTCCCATCGGAAAAGTCAATTTTCAAAACATACGTTCAGTTTCAAGTTGGAAATAAAAATGTTCGGTTAAATTTCGTTAGTGGACCATGTTTGTAACTGCTGTTGAATCTGACAATGCGATTTCTGTGAAATGTCGACGACGAAGCTTTATAAACTACAAACTTCTAACCGAGTTGTTTGACGGTTATTCTATAACCAGGAGGTCAAGTTGTTCGTTGCGTTTCAAATGACATGTTCAGTACATTCGTTTTTCGATGGTCTCCTCCATTATCAATAAAGCTCGCGTATTATGACTCTCTTGACCTAAGGTTGGTTTTTTATGAAATGAAAGGTTGCAGAAATGTCATAACTATATTGAATTTATGCAAAGGTGTGGATTGTTTTTTTAGCAGCCTTTATTGGAGCAAGTTGATAATGATCTATGTATCAAGATCACCACATTACCTGAGGTCTGTATTGTCGTGATTCTTCAAAAATCTGATTTTTTCAAATGGGATATATTAAGGACAAGTATTTCCCCTGCAAATTTAAATGGACTCACAAGTAAGACAATTCAATTTTCTAATTCCAGCAGCCCAAAAATTCTCCAGAATGCATTTGAGATATTTGTTTTTTTATTTACGAGTGTCGAAAATGATCAGTTTATATCTATTTATATTTTATTATATAGTTAAAAGTGCATGTTGTAAACTGCCAAAAAGTTTTGCTTTATCGATATACACGCCATATTTTTTGAATAAGTTACTTACTACATTTGCGGTTTCTTTTTAATAACTATGAAACCTCACCATATGGGCGGAGTTTAATGTTTTCAGTAGATGTCAAAATGATTTTATTTATAAATTATTATCGTTACACCATTATTAGTTAATTATGGAATTACGATTAACAAATTAAATTATTATTATGTGCAGATTAATAATCAAGTGCGTTTTATATATTTTATCTCATAATTTTTGTTTGTTTTCTGTGATACTCAATTTTTTGTCTTATAATTTATCACTAGCATATGATATTAATTGACTGTTACGATCATTGCAGTAATTTCATAAAACAAAAAAAATCAGTCAACACGTACAAGCAATGTTCTTTTGATTTATGATTTCTATACATGGGGAATACATTTCCTGATACCTATTCATACTGGGGAAATTTTGACGCAGTAGCGTAACGGTTTAGCATATATCCACTATCCAAGTGGAACATCTCCTCGTGTTGTGACTTCGAAAAAGTTGAAAAACAAGGGGCAGTGTACGATATTGTTATCAAAAGTTAATCACGTTTTTGCAAGAGAAAATATCTAAGAAGACTTCTTCAAACTGCATTTTTTTTTATGAAAACGGTAACAGGTTATGTAAGATTGTTTGATTCTTGTTGATATTCATGAATGTTTCTTCTAAACAAGCACGTTCTAATATGACGGCGAAAAATTGTATTTCGTTAATAACACAGGTTTACAAAATTAAACTTTTTGGCAGATTTTATTTTGAAAGCTGATTTCAAAAATTCTATGCATTTATTTGCATCACAAATATATATATATATATATATATATATATATATATATATATATATATATATATATATATATATATATATATATATATATATATATATATATATATATATATATATATATACATATATACAGATTTTTTGAGTGAAATCTTGCTTTTCTGGCCAGGAAGCTGCATTGTCTGGATATTCGGCTATGTGTTTTAAGGGCATATCCTGTGTTACCCCTGTCCTTGTTCTTCGCTAATGGCTCCAAGATTTTCAGGAAAATAGTTCATATTAATATTACAACCTAGACGATGAAAGTGCTGTTACATATTTTGAATAATAGTTTTCGTCCTTAGAGTTCCCAAGAAACATCAAATACTTCTTTAAATGAAACCCGGGCGTTTTTATCCATATTGATCATTGTACTTTGTATAATGTTCTTATCTGCGACCCAACAAAAATGCCTTCTTTTATCTTGGCATCAAATATCGCTGGAAATTTCTCGCACAAATATTTGAAAAAATGTATGCTGCTTATTTTTTCTGTTTAATCCTTGAACATTACATTCCTAGGTTCTCGCCATATAAAAGCCAAACATTTCCTATCTTTTTGCCAATTTCTTAATGCGCAAACCCAAAAGGAACAAACAATATAAGGAGCCCAGCACTTGTTCGCCAATTTTTACACAAGTTATTTGGATTGTTCACACAACGTTTTCTTTCCGTATTTATACACTCTAGAACACTATAAGTACGCAACAACGAAGACAACAGCCACGAACACAGTAGCACGACGACCCATACAACAAAACTGCGCATAAGCAGGTTACAACGCTGTATTGACGCTTCTGCGCCAACGCTGTTGTTTTGCAGAGAAATCTAATATTACCCACTGTTGCCTAATTACATTTAATTTCATAAAAAGCAATTCATTTAAAAATCAGGCCTAAAACAAGAAAAAAAATGTTTAAATGATCAGTTTTTGTGCAAATTTAAACAAAAAAAAATTGTGCAGAAATTTCTCACACACCTATGAATAATTTGTTACATTTTGGTGAAAATGGCATATGCATATGGCAAGTCCAATATTTTTTTATAAAAAACAAAAGCAAAAAACATAGGTTGTTCTAAAACCAATGCGAATAACATAAATATAAATATAAAATCTAAAGCAATGCATAACGGGATAAAAAAAATATTAGATAAAAAAATCTAGTGGGCTGCCGGCACTTGTTAAGACTTTTCTCAGCCCGATTTGATATTGCTCGGTTAGTTTGAATACAAACTACGACTAATTTAATTATAATAGTAAATTACACTAGCGCGAAAATGGCAGATATATTTTATATATGTGCGTGTTTTCTTTTGTACATTTATTTTTGTTTTAAATAATCAAAAATAGTAAATCCATTTATACAAGTTTATTTTTCATGTCATTGCACAAGTTTTCCTATCAATTTAGTCAGGAATGATGGAGTCAATCTAATTTAAAGGCCCTCCATTAATTAAAAAAAAACTTATGCAAAATATGTGTTTATATTCTATTTTCATTTTTAAGATAATTAATAAAAACATTATTCTTCAGTCATATCTGTAGCGCCATATGTCCCTAATTATTTTTAACAACGGATCATTCCTTAAGTTTTTCGTGTTTCAAAATTTAATCATTAAAATAGAATATTATCTCAATTAAAAGGTATGTTATGTATAAAAAATCAAATGATGACTCGTACAAAAGTTTCACTTTCATATCCTTAATATTTAAATTATTTTGATATTTTATTCATTGATTATGGATTTATCTTTTTGATAGGTCAATTTATAAGAGAGAATCGACAATCTTTACAATTTTTGCTTAAGTTTCCATATATTTATTGGTAAGAGGTAAAATGTTTCATTATGCTAAACATGCGATTTTTTAAAATCATCAAACAAATCCATCTGCACCAAGTTCAATGTCACCGTTCGGTCATTTAACATGTCTACGATAATAATCAAAAAGTCGTAAAATAAAAAATGTGTGAAAATTTACATAAATGCCTATTCATTTATTCCCATAAAATGTTACGGTCTCATTTCCATTATTTCTTCCTAAACAGATGTGCCGAAGATTCCCGTCGTGGTTTTGAGTACGAACTAATTGGTTATGAAATTAAACTAAATTTACTCGACTCGGGCTCTAAAATTATATGGCTTTCCCGAAAGTGAAAAATAATACATTTGTATTAATAATTTGGCGTAACGTTCTCCCAGTTTTATCCCTGAAAATCGAAACTCTCAAAATATTTAGTAGATTGATGGATCGCATTGGATTCGACGTTTTCCCTTGACTATTGGTTATATTCGGTATTATTTTGGGTTTGAAAATTTAATATTTTGTTTCAAAACATTTCAGAAAATTAATTAAATTAAATCTAAATCCGTGTTTTGAAATTGTTTCTCCGACATATTAGAAAAGATTTTATTTACAATGAGGCTTCGAAAACATCCCTGAGATATGTTTACTATTCTTCGGTAATAATATTTAACTTATTCAACAAATCCGGTCCCTCCATGGACTATTCGTTAAGAAATCTTCTTAAATTATATTTTAATTATACTGGCGTATAAATTAAGGCAGCATTAGCCCATAAACTACACACTTTAGTTGAAATTAGCAGCATTAATTCTGAACAGATGGACATCATCGTTAGAAACATTTATAGTCCTTGTAACGCATCTGATCGACACATATAAAATTTAATATTTATTTTAATATAAAAAGGATGATTCACAACAACAATTAATTCTTGCATCAATACGAACTAACGATTTTCTGCATTTGTTTATGAAATATGGGACTTACCGGAAAGTCTTCACGAGAAATATCGAACCACTCTAAAGATCACCCAGATGCAGTTCAGGAAGACGAGCACTGTTACGCTGTTCACCTTCGCGTACAAGTTAACGCACTTGATGCCTGGTCCTACCGCTTTTAAATGAATGAACCGATCGCCTACCAACAAACGGAAAAAAAGGAGGCTGAAATAAAAATTACGCCGCCACACAGTCTAGATTTCAGGTTCAACTCTTAGCGCTGTCGATTCGAAATCTGATTATATATCCTGCAAAATAACCGCGATGCGGATGATCCAAGGACAGCATGGAGTCGATATCTTGCTAAATGTACGAGACGCGGTGGTGGCTGGTCAAAATAACATTTCCTGTGGTGTTTCATTATAGATTGAGAGATCTAAAGCGTAAACCGATAAATAAAGAAAAAGGAGGGAATACTGAAGAAAGAAAATCTGAGCGTTTATTCTTTGAATAGGGCCACTGGCATATGTACATAATCAAAAAAAATATAAAAGGAAACCGTTAAGAGATTACTGAAATCATGGAAAATTATACGAACAACCATGACCATTATCAGAAATTCTTTTCAATAGTGATAGAAACCGAAAATACCAATAATGATAATAACGGTAAGCCGTTTATTATCCTCACATAGCAATTGCAATAACAATAATTGAAACAATTATGATCAGTCCTGACATCAACGAGCTTTAAGGCGGCTTTCCAATACGGGGGACGCGCTGTTTATTATTGCTGTTGAGAGGTTTAATGTTTTCATTTTTTCTATTTCTTTGGTTTAATTTTTGGAAGTTTCTAAAAGGACATCATTTATTTTTTATTTAAGCCTTTTATTTATTATAGGTAAGTTTAAATTTAGAAAAGTTGAAATGGACAGAAGATACGAAAGAAGAATAACTAAATTAGGTTTTTATTGCTTGTTGCACCTAGTTTTTCTTTAAGTATTATGTGATGTCTTCTTATTATTAGAGTTTCAGCTTCGCTAATGTCTCTTTAAGATACAAGATACAAGATTTTATTAACCATGTTTTGCAATATACATTAAAATATAAATTAAATAAGTAGATGGATACATTACAAACATAATGTATAAAAAACAAAAAACCAAATAAGAATACAAACGACGTAAAAAAGACAAAAAAAAGAATAACGTTTAATGCGTGACAAGTATTCCTTTAAAAAAGAATGTGATTTAATGACCTAATATCTGTGCTTAAAATATTGTATAAGTCGTATTGAAGACTATTGTATATCGATAGTTTTAGTTTTCGTTCCGGTTTAAGAAGATTGTTGACAAATTTTCTGAAATAATTATGATTATAATTTGGTTTTAGTTTAAAATATCATAAAAAATTATGAACTACATTGTTTTGATGTTCTTTGTTTAATATTATATAATTTGATACATATCTAGTTTTGTCTGTAAATCTGTTGCGTTGTCGCTTTAAGAGGTGAAACGCACGAATAGCTTATAGAGTAGAAATAGACCATTTCTAAAAAACGTGTTTAGGGAGAACCAAAATTATTACATGTATTTATAATATAATAATAATTAGAATAAATTGCCTTTATTGTTTTATATTGTTATATACAAATATACAATAGAAATATACAGTAGAGAAGAGGCAAAGTCTAGGAAAAGTTGCTTAAATGTTTAAATTGAGAACTAAATAGCAAGTTATAATTCGATAAATAAATTAAATATAGTATAATAGATATATGTCATAGTAATATGGAACAATAGAAAGTTATTAAAAGTAAAAATAAAAAGGATAACATTGAAAATCAAATTATTTGAGAAGTTATCACTTTCAACCTGATATATTTTTTAAAGAATTTAATTGAATGTGATTTTACTGAATCGGGAATACTATTAAAAATTACAACAGCGTTATAAGAAAACGACCTGAGGAACAAAGATAAACGATATGGTGGCAGTGAGAGTCTGTAGGGGTGCCTTAAAGCCACTGATTGAAAATTACGAAACGGCAATTTAGCTCGTAAGTAGGACGGATTGGATGTGCCAATAATTTGGAAAACCATAGACGCCAAAAAGTGCTTGAAAGTACTGTACATTTGGGATACTTGTTCAACGTTAGGTAAGAATAAAGAATTTAGTACCTAGATGACAGTATGAAAAGGGCAGAATTAGGTAGGAGAGGAAATAACGCAAAATTGCATTGATCCTGATAACAGGAGCTACTTGCCAATCAGCAGCAATCTTTTATTTTAAATACTTTTTGAAAATCAAGATAGGAGATTTAAAATCAAATATTTTTATTGGATCACTTACAGTGATTTCATCATATGTTTTGTATTGGTGTCACTGATATTAGAAAAACTTCTTAACATCTGCTAAAGTTCACAGTTATATTACTAAATCGTCTAACAATTTGCAAGTTCCACAGCATGTATTGAGTCGTACCATGAGGAACAGCTATGTAATTAAAACTTATAATCACCTGCCAGACTCTCAGAATTATTGACAGCGAAATCAAAATTAAAAACTCATAAAAAAATTATTAGTGCCTGAAGCAATACACTCCTTGGATGAGTTCTTTTAGAACAACTGGGAGAGTGAGTGAGTGATTGCTGAGGGTATAAGGGAAGGAAATTTTATATTTTTTCTTAATGTTTTTTTTCTGTATTGTATTTATTTGCACATCTTTTTGACTAAACACAAGTACCTTTTTGGAAGCAAACATCGTTGTTAATTTGATTAAATAAATTAAATAAATAAATCATTTGGAATAATTAGGCACGTGTCTTTCTCAAGCATTGATTATGAGCAGGAGTTTGTGTGGGATAATTAAGTTTGTTGTAGAGGTAGAGGCGAGTTCTATATTTCAAAAATTTTATTAAACGTGTTTCAGAAGTAGCTTCTTGAAAATAAATGCCTTATTTAACAGATCTTAGATTAGGTGTAACAATTAGTAATAAGTTCTTGTTTAGAAGGGCACGGATGAGTATGCATTTTATGAAAAGTTAAATCAGGATTTGAAAATGTATAATAGACGATTGCAACAAATATAAGATAAACATTAAAAAAACTTTGTTCATGGCATATAAACAGGTAAATAAACAAATAGATATATTGTACATTTGCAGAAAGGAACTAAACTGTATATAGATAATCCTTTTCAGTTATTGATATAAATGTTAGGCATATCTTACCGACAAAACTAAGTACTTAATTTACAATATATTCCTTTTAAACCATTTTTGTTATTTAATGTCCATTTGCAGAACAAATAAACTAAGCGTTTCAAATATGACATGCTTACTTCTACAGATCAATTGAAATATAACTCAACAAACATTTTTCTATTGAACCTAAATGTGGATCTAAATTTTTTTGTAGTCTTACGAATAACATAAAGCCTATTGGAGTCTCTATTCCCATTGTGGTCAATTTTTAAAGATTTAGGGAATAGGTAGGATATTACAAAATAATGCACCAAATTTTTATAGCATGCCATTCTATTTCGAAATAAAGGCTGTTGAAATGCTAAAAACCGAAACTATGTTTTGAAATAACTACAGAGATATATCATTGACTTTGTAGAATGCTTTTGAGCAGTAAAGGACAGTTTCTTTTATATGAACTTTATGCTTTATCCTAAAATAAAAAGTATTTTTCAGTAGTAATTTAATTAGGAACACATTTGTTCTCATCATTTTTTCTGAACGATGCTCCGCTTTTAAATAAAAAAATAAAAAACCATTTTAGTGTGTGGGAAAATCGCCAAAATATGTTAAACATTATAAAATTGAACTTTAAAATTATTTTTGTGAAGTAATTAATAACAACAAATATTTAATTTAATTATAATTTAACGAATTTGAATTGTTTAACATCAGTACTCATTTGAATAACATATCGAATTTGGCTGGTAGTTTCAGGAATTTAGCGCAGATCCATGGTAATTATATAACTCTAAGTTTTCGTTAGGCATTCGATGACTTTTATGACATTTCGTTGGCGGGTAATTTCAACAAAATACGTAGTCGCGCAGTGGCAAAATAATGAAACGTTACGAACTGTAATTTTGGGTTAATTCTCTCTCGAATGGCTGGATCATCTATTGAACCATTCATTATTATTCCGGTACAAAATTTTCGATTTTCAAACACACACACACACACACACACACATACAGACACAAATTGAATTATAGGAGAATAACTTGCCGACAGGCGGAATTTGAATGGAAACTATTTTAAAATGTAAATTTTCGAGTACCCCGCTCTATAAAGTGTATTAAGTATGACGTGTTCCCTCCGTTGAGGTATACGGGATATCCAACATTCTCAACCATGCATGTGCATGGCTACGGGCACGAGGATGCGAAGAGACAATTTTATATATAACATATGTATATCGCTGAAAATTCCCTCGGGAAACGGATTTTCTTTTAAAACAACATTTTCGGTGAATTAATGCTTCACAAATCGTAGAAGCAAATAATTGTTTCGGGAACCTTAATAGCGTGTAGGATATTAATTTGTATTTTGAAACCCACCTGAAGAAGTCAACAGGATGATGGGCGAAACGTCAGCAAGTTCGATTCATCAAGAATCGAGGCAGGAGGAATTCAGAAGATTTGAAAATAGTATTGCAGTAACCTGCGGAAGTTTCTTTGAAAAATTAGTTTCGAAGAACACTATTTCTTTATAATATATTTTACTCGGAAGATCATAAGCATGAAACGATTTACTCTTTTTATTCAAACAATGAAAATGTATCGCAAGATCGACGTGAATATCACCAACGTTATCTCGGCCAAGGAGCACAATAAAGCATATTGTTCGTCGATTTGACAAGAGAAAAAGTATTAAGAGAAAAACGAGAACTGTGGTTAAGATAAATTTGATTTTAAAAGTAACAGGACAAAAAATTTTGCTTTAATTTTCTAGGCAATCGATCGATTTCAGACGCTGTATTTTATATGAACAGATCATGTGGAAAAATTCACAATAATTAAGAAATTTCCAAAATGATTGGAATTCTTTCAACAAAATTATATTTACCCATGAAGCGGTCTTCTACTTAAGGGATGTTAAACAGGAAGAATAAGCCATTAAAAATCCTCGCAAAACGCAAGAGGTAAAAATTTATGTTTGATGCGTCATTACTAGTAATTTTTGAAGGGATTTTACCGGGTAATAGGTATTTGTACTTGCTTCGAGATGAAGTAGAAA